GAACACTCTATAAGGCAGTTGTAAAGTCACAAGGGACTGGTATGAAGTGGAATGAACATGACTGCACCCCAAAATGACAGCTATGTGCCAGATCTTATGCTAAGTCTTTTTAGATACTTTCTCATGAAATCCTAAAATTATGTAACGCTCTCTGAGAGCTGAGCTCTGGTGGTGTAATGGCAGTGAGCTGTGCTGCTGACCCAATGCGGAAGTCTCTGGCTCATCAAATCTACCAGAAACTCTGAGGGAGTCTGAGGTTTGTGTGTGTGTCTATTTTGGTGTTTTGGTTTTTTGTTTTTTAAAATATATGATAGCTACCGATACAGCCATTACACCCTGAAGGACTAGACAGATGGCTGAAGCAGAAATTAAACTCAAAGCTAGTATTTTGGTAATGCCACACTCTTTTCTCCTATTAGCTCCAGGACCTAATACAATATATGACACATAGTTAAGACATTCGATTTATGTCTTCTGGCCAGTCAAATAAATGAATTTAATAACAATGCAATCCCAAAACATAAGGCTCTACAAATCTCTTATCTTTTAGAGCCTGAAGCCTTCAGGATAACATTTTCTGTTCTCCATTTTTTGTATATATTTTGACTTTGGAATCTTCATTTACTTTTAGAAAGACTTGCTATTTCATTCCTTCTATTAATGTGTTGCCAGCCGTGGGATGCTAATTTAATGATTACACTGCCATCAAGCCGGAAACACAAATGTTGACATTTGACAGTAATGTTTGTGCTCTCAAAGTTGCTTCAAGTAAATACCAATGGTGTATTCAAGTAAATGAGGTAATTACTGAAATATCAAATGTTGTATATTTTTCAAAATGCAAATTCTTGTCTTAATTTTTTAAAAAAAGTCATGGTATAAAAGGAATAAAAGAAAAACATCTGAATATCTTTTTCTATTTAATGTGCTGGGAGTTGTGGTGGTGTAGTCTGTAGGGAGTCGTGTTGTTAGACCAAGGTGGTTCGAATCCACCAGTAGCTCCACAGGAGAAGAATGGGCAAATCTCATGTGATTTACAACCTCCAACATCTGCTATGAGTTAGTTCCAATTTGATGGCAACGAAAATGATGATGAGATGATTTTAGTGTTAGGCATTATGAAATTTATAAATTCCTTTGTGTCCCTTAGAAAACATTTAAATCTTTAAGTTTGCTTTTATGAAAGACTATATAAGTATCTGTTTTCTTTAAGTAAAATAAATCCAAAGAGGATATTCAATTTCACAGAAAATGGGAAGGGAGTGGGGAGAGATTAGCACTCAGCTTTTTTGGGTGTTTTTTTTTTGTGTGTGTGTGTACACTGTCAAATCCATTCTGACTGGTACAGGAGGAGATTGCCCGTCCTTCTCCAGCAGAGGATCTGGATGATTTGAACTGTGTACCTCTGAGATTGCAGTGCAGCTTCTTGCCACAAGGCCACCAGAGCTCCCTTGAACATTTGTTTGCAGCAAGCCATTAAAGAGCCTATGAGCACCCTGAGTAGGAGGTGCCAAGCTCCTTCCCTGGAACTACACCTGGTACACATCACCAAGTTTTTGAACTATGTCTTTGAACACTATTTGTTAGTGTTATTTAGGTTTTAAGTGTTATTTGGTATGATTTATTAGGATTATTATTTTTTAGGTTTGGATTGCTTACATTTCCCCCATATAAATGAATGGTAATTACTTCGTCACTTTCTACAAAAGGTTTCATAGGACTGTACTACTTTTGACTATAGGCAAACTTGTGTTTTAATCACTATTTCATTTAGATGATAGTTTTGGAATGATAGTGAGACCACTGGTTGTCAGCACCAGACCAGCAGTGTCAGAATCATTTAGGACCTACTTGGGATTGTTATGTGCTGAGTTGCCTGTGACTCATAGCCCTAAACCCTGCTCTATCCTGTGCCGATCTCACTGTCTCCGACATGCCAATCCCCATTACTCCAGTCACTGAATCAATCCATCTCATCGAGGGTCTTTTCCTTCTGTGCTGTCCCTCCACCCTCCCAAGCATGACGTCCCTCTCCAAGGACTGGTCCCTCCTTGCAACATGTCCAAAGTATGTCAAAGCTTCAGAATCCTTGCCTCCAAGGAGCAGCCTGGTTTCACCTCCTCCAGGACAAACCTCTATGTTCTCTTAACAGTCCATGGTTTATTCAATACTCTTCTCCAACACCACAGCTCAAAGGCATCAATTCTCCTTCTATCATCCCTAGTCATTGTCCAGCTCTCTGATGCATAGCAAGTGACTGCAAAGACCATAGTTTGTATCAGTTAGAAATGCAAATTATTAGGCCTTATTCAGACCGGAAACTCTGGGGGTGGGACCCAGCCCGGGTGGGACCCAGCCCAGTAATCAGCCCTTCAGGCCATTCTGATGCAAGCTCATGTTCTAGAACCAAAGGACAGACTAATATTTGGATTCATGGATGGTACCAAGTAAACTTTGGAAAATATGACTTGCTTATTTATCAATAAGGAGCTCTCTTGGGGTAGTCCGTGGGGAGTTGCACTGCTAACTCAAAAAGGCAGTGACCTTCTGGCAGTTTGAATACATCAGTAGTTTGGCCAAGAGATGGCCAATCTTTTCCTACGTGATCCCAATTATGAGTCAGCTCTGAGTCAGAAATGACTATGACAATGAATTTTGTTATGTGCATGTATGAACAAATTTGTGAAAAGATAAGCTGCATATTAAGTTGTTTTATCTTCACGGCCTGGTGTCCCTCAGCCCAGATACAGTTAGAGTTTAGTTCTACAGAAAAGAGGCTCTGCTATCCAGAAGTGGCTAAATACACCACAGCAGTACTTAATGAAAAGTAAAGCCATTTATTGATCTGTATGAACTATCTGCTAGTTCCTTATAGGTTAACTCCAACATGGGCTGCTTAAATTGCTTCCTTCCTAAACATAAAATAGTAACTTGCACTACGTGTCTTTTATTACTCCTGGAGTACAATATTCTATCATCCATATTCAACTACCGATAACAACACTATTCTTTCCAGGAATATATTACCACTATTCTAGTTGCTTTGCCACTGTTCTAGTTACATGGATTTAGGGAATACAAGGAACTGCTAGCATTGTGACAACTCTTGGGGCATAAAAAGCTTACTTTTGTCAAGAAAAAAAAATATATATATATAAAATTCCTATTGTAGCAATGAAAAGCTGTTAGCAAGAACCTTCCTTTCCCATCAAAGTTAGCCATCTTTGCTGGACAGACAGGCAGGCCTGGGTGAGAAGGCTTACTGAAGCCAGAAGGGAGAAGGGCCAGAATCAAATGAACGAACACTCAGGGCCTGTATTTGTTAAAAGGAAAAAAAAGCAATCACCCTATTTGTCACAAACTTGGGATACTAATGTCTTGGTTTTACTGGCAGCTAAGTAATTTTGCTTACAACTGAGAACTATTTGAGCTTCCTAAACATACCAATTTATTTGGATTACTAAAAGTATATATTTAACAATTTTGTTTAGAAAGAACACAGTAAGCTGGGTTAGAATCCTGGCTCTTGAGAGTTATTGTCTGTGACTAACCAAATACTAACTTCTCTTGAGTTTCATTTTCCTCATTGGAAGAACACATCAATTTATTAAATATTTGGGATGCTCTGTGTATGATGTCGGACAGAGAATAGGTGATCAAGAATTGGCTAGTGATGAACTAAAGGAAAGAAAAATAATGACCAGAGAACTGAATGAGTACTACACAACTGTTGTTGTTGTATACCATTGGGTCAGAACCAACTCATAGTTGACTCACTAGCAGGTTTTTGGAGGAAGTTCAATCACATGAGAGGGATTGCTCATTTTTTCCCCCTGTGGAGCAGCTGGTAGATTCGAACCACATAGCTTTGGGATGATGGCCTAGCTTCTTACCATTAGGCCACCAGAGATGCCTATTACATGACTAGTTCTCAAGAACTAGCTTTCCTATTTCACCTACACAGTAAGTGCAGTCAGGGTTCACTTTGGAGGTAAGGATGGTGAAGCCCTTTCTCTCATTTTTTTGAGATTATGTTGCTAGAAAAGGCTATTCCTTAGAAAGTTGGAAAAGTGGGGTTCATCAAAAAAGAGGAAGAGACTCTCAATGAGATGGATTAACTTAGTGACTACAGCAATGGGTTCAAATACGTCAGAGAAGATAAGGATGGCTCAGGATACAGCAGGGTTCAGATGTGTCATTCAAAGGGTCACTGTGAGTCATACTAGACTCGATGACACCTAACAACAACCACCACCTCCTCCTCCTCCTCCCTTACATCACTTGGAAGATGGACAGAGGAGAATAATTGAAAAAAAATTTCCTTAAAAGAAGGTGATATATGTGGAATTAACACCTTTGAGAAAGATGGAAGTACCTGAAGTTTTATTTCATTTACAATGAAGGAAAGAACTGTACCACCATTTATTCATTTGACCCTGTTTTCTTCCTAGGGTATGCTAACATTTCAAAGCACCATATTACTTTTTTTTTTTTTAGGTGTGTATAAACAGCACATTCCATGTTTTTTATTGAGTTAAAAAACAGAGACATAACAAAGGTGAATGTCAAACGATAAAGCAATCTCCTTTTTTGGAAACAAATTTTAGAATGTGTGTATAACTCAAAATACAGAAACAATATTTTTATTTTATTTTAAGAATTTTTTTAGTTTTAGCACCATATTATTTATTGCTAGAAAGGTGTTATGGATTTGCTTTCTTACCTTAAAGCTCTTTTGCAGTTACCAGAATGCAGCAGGCTACTTTAGCCAAAGATCAAGGACCATAAACAATGTTCAGCACAGTAAGATCATGCCAGTAATATTCTAATCTCAAAATACAGTTATAAAGATTGATGATGGACACAGAATGCTACCTACAAACAGTAATGGCTCTATATCATAGAAAAGATAAAAACAAAAATTAAGCACCTGAAAATGTGCTACAAACAAACAAACAAACAAACAAACATTATGCATTCCGCCAGTCTAGCTTACATACCTGAACATTTTTTTAGGAAGGTGCGATGGAGAAGAATGGCTCCTTTTCTTCTTCTCTGAGTCTTGTCGAAAAGTATCTTCCATTCCACCCTTGTCCATGGCTGCTGTCTGCTCAGCGCCTGCCTGGCTCTGCTCCCCACCGAGCTGACCTTGGGCAGGGTCACACCTGTACATAAAGACAATGGATGGCTTCTCACTGGACTCCGCTTTGGTTTCTGTAAACCAGTGATGGCGCTGAACTGGTGGAGGGGGCAGCATGTGGATGACCGTGCCGTCCAGGCCTACCAGTTTCCCTTTCTCTCGCTCTTTTTCTTTGTCATCCTCCTCATCTGCTTTTCGACGGCGGAAAAAGCTTTTAAAAGATATCCAGCGTTTAGGTTTTGCATCAGTCGCCCTCCTACTGCCTTCAGAATGCAAAATGGATTCAGCTTCTGTGGATCTGGTAGGGCTAGTTGGCTTGGTCCAGTTGGTGAAATGCTTCTGCAAAAGGTTACTTGCATGGTAAGGAGAGGAAGTGGAGCGTGGAGGAGGGAAAGGAGGGGGTGGCTCATTCTGAGGGCTTGCTACTAATTTGGAGGGCGGGGAGGTGACTATCTTCGAGAGTGGATCTTTGTGTGCCTTAGTGGTCGGACTCTCTGTGGTCTGAGGTGCTTCAGCCTCACCACTGGGCTGAGCCGTAAAGAGAGACTTGGGCCGGACTGGTGTACTCTTAGGAGTGCTCTTGGCAGTGTCGGCATCTGGAGGAACAGCATAAAGCTCCTCCACGCTGCAGGCTTTAGGGCCAGACTGAGGTGTTTCAGGAGGAGACTGTGGGGGCTGGATGGAAGCCACAATCTGGGATAGAACAGCACTTGCTTTCTCCCTGGTGCTGCTGCTGCTGCCCATGGTTGGAGGCTCCTGAGCACCTTCTGCTCTGGCCACAGGTTCTTGAGTGGTTCTCTGGATCTTGGTTGGGGAGCTGTGGCTAGAACTGTAGCTTCTCTGCGGTGAAGACTGACCTCTGCTAAGACAGTTGTTGAACTCCTGCACCTTCTGTGCCACCGAGCCTCTTTTACGCTCAGTGCTGCTTGAAACCACCTTAGCTGGGGGACAGTCGATGGGTTTGCTAGTGGTGCCGTCAGACGCTTTGCTCTCAGTTTCTATTTCTTCATAAGTATGGCTTATAATACTTGTGGTCTTTTCTTTCACGGAAAGCTCTCCGCTCGTTCCCAGAAAGCTTTTGTAGATGGCTAGATTGTCATATGCATTTGGATTGATTACAATGGGAACTTTGATAGCGTTTTTGGAACTCCGCGCGTAAGTTGGCTCATCATGGATGATAATTGGAAAAGGTGGCATCCCAGCATTGTTGTAACTATTAAATTTTATTTCAGACAAGTTAGGTGACTTCACAGGGATGGTTCTGGAGGAGATGTTTGTGGCTGTGGGGGATGTAGGTGCTGATTTGTGACAGCTTTTCCTTGGAGGGATATTTGGTCCTGTTCCACCACTGATTAATTCCACCTTGGGAATCTTTTGTCGTGGACTGGTGCTGGAAGTCCACACTTCCTGGTATCGGATTGCACTGGATTTCTGGAAAGGCACACTTACTTGTCCTGATGTCAGTGCCGTGGCCGTCACAGGAGAGCTTGGAGTAGAAGATGAGCTTTTCACCTTCGGGCTGTGGGTGGGGCCCTCCAGGTGCTCGCTGGCCATGGCTGCAGACACATCCACGACAGTATATGGCTTGCACAGTGGCTGTTCTAGATTTACGACACGGTAGGGCTTTGCTTGCTCTTCGACAGGGACGAGGCTTATGGTCACTGCTTGGCCAGCAATGTCTGTAGAGGTTTTGCTTTCTTGCTTTTCAGTTTGTACGGCAATCTTGCCATTTTTCTCTTCCAGCCGGAGGGCAAGGACTGCTTTGTGTGTCTCGGGAACTTTTGCTGGGCTTTTAGAAACCTGTGCTGAATCCTCTGGGTTACTGCCAGAGAGACTTTCATACTTTGGTTCCGTTTCCTTCAGGTTCTTTGAGTCTCCCTGGTGACCAGGTGACACGGCCCCATTGCAAATCTTCTGAGATAAACTACTGGCAGTCTCGGAACGTGATTCTTCTGTTAGAGAAGAGTCTGGTGATGTGGAGTCAGTCGACACCATGCTCTGCAGGCTTCCAGGTCCATAGGAGACCACAGAATTCTCCTCGTAACCATTCAGGATTTCATCATAACTATCATCATAGTCCACAGCACAGATTCTCTGCAGGGATTTGTTGCGCAGGGGGACAGTATTCCATTTTTTATCCACAAAGAACCGAACAGGAGATAAAGTATTTGCCCTAAAGTTAGCAAAGCGAGGTTGCCCTCTCATGCGGATCTCCATGGCTAAGAGCTCTTCGTCACTCTCATCCCAGCTCTCATGCTCTCCCTCCACGTTACTGAAAAGAACATCGTCCTCACTTTCCTCACCACTTGAAAACTCTGGGTAACAGAAGCGGCCCCCTTCATTACTGATCACTTCCGTGCTCCCACTCAGAACGACATGCTTTCCCTGAGTGTCCTTTAAGCCTCCCATCATGCAACTTGGTGGAAGCTTTCTTTCCAATGACCTTTTGTAGCAATTATTTATTCTTCCTAAGAATGTTTCTCTAGAGGTTGTTTCATTTCCTCCTATCTGAGGGGTGCTCTCTAAGCCGGCTATCTCCTTTAACACTTCCGTCAGCCCGTTATTGTTATTCGATACCTTCTTTGCACTGTCATTACTGCTGTAAGGCTTAGAAGCATGGCTAAATCCTTCAATATCATCTTCATTGTTATTGTTAAGTGGTTTCTGAGTCACGGCAGTCCTGTTTCGGTTCCACCCTATGATGACAGGTTTATTCTCACAGTGTTCTTGGATGCTAAGCTCACCGCATAAACTCTGCCCATCTGCCACCATCATAGTGGGCTTCACAGCTATAGTGGGCTTCTTGGCCACCGGAGGCCGGACATTTGCAGTGTTCCTGATGCGATGGTTGTTACTGTGGTTGGCGTTCGTTTTCACATTGCCATGGGTGATGGGTGCCTTCTCAGGATCTGGGGGGAGCTGGTGCAAGCTTTTGGGTTTAAAACAGTTTTTGCATTCACCAGGTTTCCAAACGTGTTCAGTAAAGGTGTTACAAGCAGACATTTTTTTAAAAATAGAACTTCACAGGCAAATTTTTTCTTTCAGTGCATGGCAATACTTTCATCCACTAGTTTTCACTTTCCTGATGTGTTATAGCAGCTCTTCTAAGTAGGATCTATCTGTGAGGGGGAAAAGAAGAAGAAGAAAAAATCATAATGGAAAAGATACCATGAGGCTTACAATGAATGACTTGGAAAAAAAAACAACCCAACAAACATGGTTTCATTCTCAAATGTTTCCTTAAAAGATTAAGTTAGAAAGAAACTAATTTCACAATCAGTTCATTATCTACCATCATCTTAGAAAGTGAGCCTTTTAACCATAATTTCATACATGCTCATTAAACCATTTCTATTTCACTTGATGTTTCTATGGCAACGATGCTACTGACCTTCCCCTCCTGGAAATGCCTTTGCCACTGCTCTTTCTGTTACTCGCCAGCCTCTCTCACACGTCTTAGTCCATTTCAAGTTGTTCTTCTTCTACCCACCCTTTAACACTGCCAATGAGTTGACTGTGATTTGGAGTAATTCCTCACTGGGTTTCCCAGGCTGTAAACCTTTAGGGGAAGAGTCTATCTTCTCTTGCTCCCACAGAGCAACTGGTAGATTCAAACCACTGACCGGGTTAGCAGCTCAACACATAATAAACTACCTCATTAAAGCTTCTCAAACTCTGCATTCAAGACTAATGCTCCTGGCTACTCATTTTCTCAGTACCTCATCTCCACTTCTCAGTTCTCTTTTAGCCCCCGGGTTATTTACTTTCTTCCTTTTCTTGATATTTTAGCTAATGTCACAATAATTTATTTATTTGGTTAGGTTTCAAACTTCAGATCATTTTTTAAACTCTCCCTCTACTTCTAATTACACATATTACTAACTCCTCAAATTAATCCTGTCAATTTTATCTCCTACATTTCTCTGAAACCCACTCTTCCCATTACCAGAAGCTGCTAGTAGTTCCAATACTTACCATTGCTTGCCTAGATTATTGCAATAAACTGTTAACTCACCTCCATGCCTATAGACTCATCCCATTCTAACCCATCCTCTGTACCTGTTACTAAATGTGTGATCTTCTAACCAATGGCATCTCTTACCTACAGGCTTATGGAAATGCAGCACTGTAAGTTCCACCCTAGACCTACTGATTCAGAATTGCATTATAATAAGATTCTTGGGTGATTCCATTGCTCTGTATCACTATCAGATCCATCTTTCTAAAAATGCTAATATGATCATTTTATTACCTAGCTTAAAAACTATTCCATGACTCAGTATTACTCAATGCAGTGACTCAAATGTTAGTGTCTCAAACTGGGGATTCTGGATGCAGGTTTAGGGGAATCACTGAAGTCTGTGAGTGAGACAAACTGCCCTTGACTGCTAACCAAAAGTTGCCAATTTGAACCCATAGCCCACCTAAATATGCCATGGAAGAAAGGCCTGGTGATCTGCTTTCTTCAAGATTATCACCAAGAAAGCAATGTAACACATTAGATTATGATGAGACAGAACAGACTTAATGACAGTAAGTTTGGATTGATGAGGAACCACCTAGACCTATTTACGCAGTCAATTTCTAAGAGAAAGGTCTAGGAATCTACATTTAAAAATAAGCCTAATTTGGTGTGCAGTGAGGAGCCAGTATCTCTGAGCTACAGGAGGAAATCCAAGCTTCGAAATGTTTCTCCTTTCTCAACTCATGTCTTAAAATCAACAACTGTTGTTGTTGTCAAGTACAGTAGAGTCAGCTACAACTCACAGCGACCCTATCAACTACAGGTGTGAACTTGTTCTATCTTGTGCCATTTTCACCATCTCTGATATACTTGAGCCTTTTTGTTGTTGTTGTGTACTGCTGAGTCAGAACCTACCCACAGCGGACCCTCCAGTGAGTTTTCAGAGGTGGTATATCACATGGGATAAGACTGTCCGTCTTTCTCACATGGAACAGCTTGGAACCATGTGTATTTGGGATGGCAGTGCAGCTTCTTACCACTAGGCCAACAGAGTCAACTTAGCATACTCTAAATCCCACTGGGTTATCCATTTCTCTTTGGAAATATCAAAGCCTCTTAGATATACATCCATAAACAAGTACTTTCATGGCTGTCTGTTTCCTCACTTGTTTTTAAAGTTCTTTAGGCATAGGCTATATCTTATTCTTCTCTCCATGTTTAGCATAAAGAACTGAGTGAACACTGGTTGATTAAAAATACAAGAGCTGAATCTTGTGGCTTTCTTTTGTCTTAGCGACACAGCTACACACATTCACACACAATATTACTAGTTTTATGTTTTTACTTTGGGTATCATAAGAAGTTGGCAATAGGCATATAAGAGCTCCTTCAACAGCTAGAAGGTGCAAATTAATTATGTACAATGAAAGTGCTAGAATCCTGGGTTTGGTCAGAAATCCACACTTCCCATCAAGTTTTAGAAAGAAAACCTTTTCTTTAGCTTATATATGCAAAGCCAATTCCCATGTAAACAACACTTGCACTCTGCTTTAGTGGAACAAGTATAGACCAAAGAAATTCAAACAAAGAGCCCAACAACCTGGCTGAAGTCCAAGTTCACTCTTTGCTAGAAACCACTGGTAGGTGCTTTTCAATAAGGTTAAAACACTTTCTTCAAGTATTTGTTGGAAAACATTTACCCTTTTTGCTATTTTTAAAGTAATATCATTCAGTTGATAAAATAATTTCCTGTTGATCTGAGAGTGAGGTATTACGAGCAAAGGGAGAGAGGTATAACATTAGGTTAAAAAGGAGTATGGGAGTTGGTTCATGCAGAGCCTTTGGGGCTTTTAAAGATCACACGTTTATCCTGACAGCAGTAGGACGCAACCAAAGGTTTTCAGCAGGTGATACAATGTGAGCCAATTCACATTTAAAAGAGATTTCTCTGACCCTAGAATAGAAATTTCTTAGGTGTAAATCTGTGTATTTACAAAATCTAAAATCTACGTGAAGAAAAGGACAAAATATTGATAAAAGAAATCCAACATCTAAATAATTAGAGATACACCGGGTTCATGGATTAGAGGATTCCATTAAGGGGAAAATGTCAATTCTTTCTAAATTACTCTGTAGAGGGCATGTAATGCTAATAATATTTCAAGAAAGATTTGTTAAAAATAGAAATCCAAAAGTTAATTTTTAATATTTATGGAAAAGATACTATAAATAGCCAAAACCATTTGGAAAAACAACTAAGTTGTAGGATTCACATTACCTGATTTCAAGACTTATTATAAAGCTATATTAATCTTGGCATTAGTAGTAGCAAAAGACTGGAAACATAGAACACAGGGTAAGCAAACCACAGTCTGCAGGCCAAACGCAGCATGCTGCCTGCTTTTAGAAGCCAATGGCTATGCATTTCCAGCATATGAATCCGTCAGTGGCTCCATGGGGAAAAGACGGTTACTTTCCTTCGGATACAATTTACAGTCTCAGAAAACTGATGGACAGTCGGGTCTCTATGAGTTGGAACCAACTCAACTGCAGTGAGTTTTGTTACTGAAGTTAAGAATGCTTTTGTCTATTTTTCCATGGTAGGGAAAAAAAAAATCAAAAGAATAATAATACATTGTGACAAGTGAAAATTACATGAATTTCAAGTTTCAGTGTTCATAAGTTCACTGGAACACAGCCACCTCATTTGTTTATATATTGTCTATGGTGGCTTTGTGCTGCAAAGGGAGAATTGAATACTTATGAGAGACTGTATGTGGCACTCTCATTGCTTTGCATTGCTTTTTAGCACCTTATATATAAATTCAGCATTTCATCTGCTATATTGCATTACCTATATAAAAAGACACTTTTCAAAGATAAAAACCATAAAATTGCTTAACAGGTCTGCATTAACAGATAGAATGTTTGCAATTAGTTCTGTTGAAACATTAATTGTGAATTCCAAATAAGCAAAATTTTATCCTTTTGTTAATATATATATAATTCTTATTAGCAGACTTACATTTAAAATAAAAAAAGATTTTTTAGTTTTATGGAAAAATAGAAAAGATTTTTCTTTTTTACAAAAGTGCCCATGTAATATAGTCAATTTTGGCTTTTGGCCTACAAAGTCTAAAATATTTATTACTTGGTCCTTTATAGTTGCTGACACTTGAGAAAGATCAATGGAACAGAATAGAGTCTAGAAATAGGTCCAAAGAAATACACTCAGTTGATCTTTGACAAGAAGACAAAGTTATTCTTTTTGACAAATGTTATTGGAAAAACTAGATATTCACATATATATAACCTTTGACTTCTTCGTCAAACCATACACAAAAGTTAACAAAAAATAGACCACAGGCTTAAGAAGAAAATGCAAAATTATAAATTTTCAAAACAGAACATAGGAAAACATCTTTTTTACCTTAGTTAGGCAGAGAAATTTTAGTTTTAACACCAAAATTATGATCCAAAAATAAAAAAAAAAAATCTAGTAACTGAGACTTCATCTAATTTAAAAATATCTGTTTTGTTAAAGACACTGGATAGAAAGAAAAGACAAATCACATAATGAAAGAAAAGTTTTTTGCAAAGCATATATCTGGCAAAGACATATATCCAGAACACATAAAGAACTCAGAAAATGCAGCAAACAAACAAATCCAATTAAAACTCAGACAAAAGACTTGAAAAGACATTTACCCAAAAAGATAGAAAAAGATGTTGATATTTGTTATTACAGAAATGCAAATTAAATTTACATTGACTTGCCACTACATTATTAGTAGAATTGTTACTCAACTCATTGCTGTCTAGTCAGAACCAATTCATAGCTGCCTCTCCAGCAGGCTTTCAGAGGCTGTAAATTATACAGGACGAGACTGTCCACCTTTCTACGTCAGAGGAGCTGGTGGATTCAAATTGCACACTTTTGGCTTGGCAGTGCAGCTCCCTACTGATGAGGTTATTAGAATTGATGTTGTTATTGTGTACCATCTAGTCAGAACCAACCCATAGCTGACCCTCTGGTGGG